TCAACATGCTAGATATTTCTTCATTTGCGGCATATATAATTTATTATGAAAATAATAAAATGATTGTCAAAAAAACGAGAGAACGTCGTCAATTTATGCGTAAACTAAGTGAATAACTAGCATTGCCGATGATTGAACATCGCACGGCGAATTCTCAACAAAGATTGCCATTGAAAGTGTATTAGGCCATATACTGACAGAAACAGTCGTGATAAATCCTGGTCGAGAGACTCCAAAAGATAAAACCGGAAGGAAAAAAGTAACAGGATCTTGTCATGTCTGCAATGCTTTGCCAATAAGAAGACGGCGTAAGGCCTGTTCCAATTGTCACCAACCTGAGTGTGACTAGCACTCAGTTAATCGTGTACAATGTATTCAATGTCATTAATTATAAACAAAAGTGTAATATTTCTTTTTTTTATAAAATTTAGTTGCATGCATTGATAGAGAGTATATACAATTTGTTTTCTATGCTTTCCACTGTGCCCGGGTACCCAGCTGCTAATAGGGATGGCTAGAGTTTAAGCTTATTTAAAACAAAAAATAAATCAATTAAATGAACTCACAAATAGCTTTCTTTTAAGTTAAAAAACGATGATTTGAGAGCTTAAAATGAAATATTGAATTTTTTTTAAGCTATTCACACAAATAAACCGCGGTGGGTACCCGGGTACCCGGTTACTAACATAAGGGTTAAGGTAAAATTCGGGAATAAATTCCTTCGAAACATTATGTCATAAAAAAGAAGGTTTTAATACTCTGAATCTGTACCTGTTGGACGATCTTTCAATCAGGTATAGACTTTTTGATATGAATTTTTATTAATTTTCATAAATTTGGTTTTATACTCTACTATGGTAACTTTTCAACTCCCAGATACCGAATATGTGGACCACTGTGCCTATAACTGATATCTACTGAAAGTATAGGTACATTCCTGAGATATATTATTGAGAATCAGAGATAATTTTTTCCTTATTATAATGTGATTGTGTTCAAAAATGGGTAAAATCGGCTCAAAACTTCCCCTGGCCTTCATTTAAAGATTATCTAACTTCAGGTTACTTCATACTGTATAAGAGTATATCGGTCAATTTGTGAGTTTTATAAATAAAGATCACGGATCTCTGGTGATGATATATCGTAATGCCAAAATTGGATTAAGCGGTTTCACGATTTTTCGCAGTTCGCATATACAACAAACCTAATTTTCGTTATTCTAGCAGACTTTTTGTCGTATATGTCTTTCAGTGTTCGAGTTGTTTTTATAAAACTGTGTGGAAATATTTTTTCAACTATACTAGAGTAATGCTAAAAGTAGTGTAATATGTAGTGGGTATATGAAAGTATTTCTTCGCTTTTGATCTTTGCAAATGGTGAGAGTATAATAAATTTAAGGTAAACAAGTAAGGAAGGGCTAAGTTCGGATGTAACCGAACATTTTATACGCTCGCAAAGTCAAATAGTATACTCGTTTGAGATTTCTTTGTGGATTGAGTGATATTTTCGGTAGAAGGTCAACTATAGGCACTGGGGTTCACATATTTAGTACTTAGGGGCTTAAACAATTTTGGTTCGATTTAAACAATTTTTGGCCACAAGGTGGCATACTTTAATCGCATTATTCACGCAAAGTTTTATCCCGATACAGTCATTGTTGTCTGATTTGCATAGTGGAAAGTGAAAGAATCAGATGGAATTTAAAATGGTGTTATATGGGAAGTAGGCGTGGTTGTAGTCCGATTTCGCCCATTTCCGCACTGTGACATAGAAACATGAAAAGAACGTTATGCACCGAATTTGGTTGAAATCAATTAAGCAGATCTCAAGATATGGGTTTTCACCTAAAAGTGGGCTGTGCCACGCCCACTGTATAATTTTGAACGCGGTTCCTATAAAGTCATCTCATACCACCCCAGAGATGAAATTTAATTTCTCTGGCGTGTTTAGTGCTTGATTTATCGCGCTTTTAGTAGTTTTTAACAGTACCGTTATATGGGGAGTGGGCGGAGTTGCCACCCGATTTCAACTATTTTCACATCGCCAATAGAAGTGCTAAAAACATTTGCTTCCAGTGAATTTTGTTATTATAGCGTTAGCGGTTTAGGAGATATGCACATTAAACCTATTAGAGGCGGGACCACGCCCACTTAAAAAAAAAAAATTTAACTGCAGATGCCCCTCTCTAATGTGATCCTGTGTACCAAATAACAGTCTTGTATCTGATTGCGGAGCTTAGTTATGGCAATTTATTTGTTTTTGATTAATGGCGTTTTGTGGGCGTGGGAGTGGTCCGATTACGCCCATCTGCAATACCAACCGTCTCATGGTACCAAGAAACATGTCTACCAAGTTTCATAAAGATATCTCAATTTTTACTTAAGTTAGAGCTTGCACGGACGGACGGACGGACAGACAGTCACCCGGATTTCAACTCGTCTCTTCATCCTGATCATTTATATATAATATATATAACCCTATATCTAACTCGATTAGTTTTAGGTGATACAAACAACCGTTAGGTGAACAAAACTATTATACTCTGTAGCAACAGGTTGCGAGAGTATAAAAACGCGAACCTGTAAAAGTTCTACCAAAAGCCAAAAGATATGAACAAGAAAGATGCAGGCTATCAATATCTCAAATAAAAATTTCCTCGAATGAGTAACCCAAATTAAAAGAAGGAATTTTTGTAGGCTTTACAGATTCGTGAGCTTGAGTTGGTTGAAGCTTTCAATTGAAAGTTGAGCAAAGCAGAAAAAAGAACTGTGGTGGCTTTTGCAAAAGTACCTATGTCATAATTTTCATGGGAATATTAGCCGCATCAAATGCGCATGGTGAAAGTTTTCGCTAAAGAAGGAAATGACCAACAGTATTCTTGCTTATTTCTGTTGATCGATTCGCCGAGCAGCTCCTATGGAATCGATGAAAATAAAACTAGTAAGGAAGGGCTAATTTCGGTTATAACCGAACATTTTATACCTTCGCAATTTGCACGGATCAAAGTTGGTGTAATACTTTCAGGTGTTGCAGAACGTTGTAATACAAAATGTTCAGTAAGAATTCATATTCATTTTTCGAAGAAACCGAATGCTTTACAATAATATTTTGGTATCTTAATAATTTCTGTATATTATAGATCGTAGACTCACTTAATTATGTAATGAAAGAAAATCTGTCTGATGCCAACATGACAAGCAATCCTTCTTTAACTTTGTCGATGTTATTGTCATTAACAGAGATTGATGGACGACTATGAAGCAAGTTTTCGATGCTTCACGACCTTCACTGAATTCTTTGTGGCCTTCAAATACATGATAAGTTGACTTACCAAAATACTTCTGCAACATTTTCAACGATTCCGCAGCCGTGATTCCAATGGAAACACAAACTTTCATGCAAAAACCAAACATACTTTTCGCGTCATAAGCAAACAACTGCTATACACATACAAATTGACAACTGGTTACCAAACTTCACATGAACATGAAAAAGGGTTGTACCAATCTAGGAAACAAATTTGTATCGATTCGATTAGCGCGCGCAGTTTCAATGGACCAGTTCGGATTCTCAGTGATTAGATAGTACCTATATCTCGAAAGCGGAGAGTTTGTGCCGAAGGCGTGGTAAGTATAACGGTATAAAAACCCCGAAAATTCCATGATATCATCTATTTTTGATTTCCTTTAATATAAATTGACGCTTTTACAAAGTTTCTGTTAGCATCAAGTTGACAAATACGTATAACTAACATATGTTACATACAAATAAACGCATGCATACGCACATTTCTAACGCGCAAGCGCACCACAAACAGCAAAATAAAAAAAATTTTAAAAAAATTGCTAAAAACAAATATTTGGCCAGGATTCGAACCATGAATATGAGTTTACTACTTGTACGAGTACTAATTGTTCTTATATGTACCCTGAACAGGGTATATTAAGTGTATCGCGGTTTGTAAAACACAAAAGGAAACGTCGGTGACCCTATGAAATATATATTTAAATGATCAGCATGACGAGATTAGTAGATTTAGCCATGTTCGTCGGTCTGTCCGTTCGTATGCAAGTCCGTTTGTCTGTATATACGCGAACTAGTCCCTCAGTTTTGGAGATATCGATCTGAAATTTTGCACACGTCCTTTTCTCCCCGGGAACCGCTAATATCGGGTCACTATGACATATAGCCGCCACACAATCTGAAAACTTTTGTATTGGTGCCACCGAAGTTAAGGTTTTTTCTATATAAGAAGATGATGATTACAATATATAAAGAAATAAAAATATGTTGCATTCTATGCTAGTGAGAGGTAGTAAAAATTTTTTCGTTTTTAGATTTTCATTCGTAGACGTATTTCTTTTGACACTTTAGCTATTTACTAGAATTAAATCCTTTCTTGTAACTTTAACTCCATATAACTTTTAAAGTAAGGTTTTAATGAAAAAAATTCTTCCGACCTGTTTTTTGTAGAGCGAGAAACCTTGTACTAGAAACTCACTTGCTCAAAGTAGTAGGTTTATTTGGTTATAAAATAACAAAAAAATTATTGCAACAGATTAAAAATCCCATGTAAAATGTATGGGAAAAGTCAATTGATTTAGAAACGATTTAAATTAAAAATAATAAGCTTGTTTAGGTTGGGTCCCATTTTTAGGACAAAACACTTCTCGGAGCGTTTACAAATACATACTTTCTTACTGCGAAGTTTTATTGATTCGTAAATGTTTAATATATGCAATTGTTGTAGACATGAATAATAAGAAGTCCTTACCATTACTTCTAATTTTAATTTTGTTTTAAGTAATTAGCAAATAATCATGACTTTTTTCAATAATTAATTATAGCAGCTGATTACAAGTGCTCCGGTTAATCATGATAACGGACTCAAGTAATCGTAATCTGTATTCAATAGTTCCAGCCTCTGAGCATATAAGTAAATATTTGTTCTTAAACAGTGTTACAATTTGAATATTTATATAAATATACGCTTTACTTACCGGAATATTCCTTATATGAAATGACACCATACCAATATAAATTTGCTTTTGACACCGTCAAAAGATCGGATCGGTCGTTCAGTGCAGCTTGTTATGGTATTGTGCAAATCGCAGTCGTCCACACTACAGCTGAAGATAAAGCCTGAACTCCCAGAGATTTCATGGATGTAGCATTAGCGGAATAAACGCAAATATTTATATGGTAAATTTAGGTATTTGGTAATCATATATTTTTTTAAATCTTAACTGTAGGCGTACAAATGCTTGTGGCAGTGGTTAAATGACGGTGTCTCATGCAGACGAAATTGTTTGTGTGATAAAGATACAAGATTCAATATACAAATCAAACTCAAAATAAAAAGTTATTTTCCGTTAGTTACCAAAATCCCCGTAGGAATAATATGTGCATACAAATGTGTTGCATGCAGTATAATTAGTATTGATTATATTATTAATGTTTTTTCATAAATAACACATATACTCTTCATTGTTTGCTTTAGTTGTTGTACATTCAGTGCATTGTGCTGAAAATTGATTAATAATCAAGTGCGCATAAGTGCTGAAGTTAAAAGGGACTCCAAAGGTGCCTTAGGTAAATACAACATGTGTTGCACGACATATTACTAAGAAATGTGCTAAAGAAATTTGAGTTAGCACCTGTTGTTCGCCGTTGCTAGAAGCAGAACGGTTTCTCCGCTTCGCAAGAAGCTTTTGTGTGTTGTTCGATAGGGGGTACACAGCTACATCCTGTTGTTGCGGCCTCTACATTATAAGTATCATGTACGCATTTATATTATGTGGGTGGAAGTCCGTATACATTTGGCACCCGCAACATCCTCATTGCAATGAGAAGACAACATTGGTGGTGTATCCGTATGCTGCACGCGTCTACTCTGTCCAATCGATCGCCCACACTTGTCATAGGCATAGGTTGAGGGCACTAAAGAAGGGATGATTAAACTGAATAAATGAGCTTAAGTTTTTGATTGGAAGCTCCTAACAACTCTTTGCATAAATTCATTTAGGCAGAGTACAGATATTAAGAGTGAATTATGTAAATATATTGAATATGTTTTTATACACCCACGTACATGCCAAGGGATGCATACCAGGTATTACAATATAAGATTAAAATACTGAACAAATTTTAAAATGTACGAGTTTGACTTTGGCATTGAATTTAGTATGAGCTCATGATCCAACGTTTCTGAGCCCAATTTTGTTCACCGATGAGGTCCTTGTTTGGGTAAATGGGTATGTAAACAAACAAAATTGCCACATTTGGGATAAAGAGCAACCTGAAGAGATTCATGAGCTGCCATTTTATTCAGAAAAAATAACGGTTTGGTGTTGTTTGTGGGCCGGTGGAATCATCGGTTCATATTTCTTCAAAAATAATGCGGGTGAGAACGTAACCCTCAATGGCGACCGTTATCGTGCCATGATAATCGACTATTTGATACCTAAAATTGAAACTCGTTATCTCGGCGACATTTGGTTTCAACAAGACGTCACCACTTAATATACACCGCATCAATCAATGGATTTATTGAGAAAACAGTTGGGCCGGTCGAGTGACCACCAAGATCGTGTGATGTCACACCGTTAGACTTCTTCCTGTGGGGATATGTAAAGTCTGAAGTCTATGCGGGCAATCCCGCTTCTATTTAGGCCTTGGAGCAAAACATCACGCGCGTCATTCGCCAGTTACCAGTCGAAATGCTCCAAAAAATAATAGAAAATGGGACTTAACGGATGAACAGTCTGGGACGTAGCCGCGGCCAACGTTTGAAAGAGATAATCTTCAAAAAGTAAATGCCAAAGAATGTTCTTTCGACTGATAATAAACATTTCTCATTAAATTGTTTCTTTAAAAAAGTAGGGAATCTCAAATCCCTAGATCACCCTATATGATTAATTTTGATACATTCATTTGCTCGTGCACATATTCAGTCCGGCATATACCCGCTGAAACGATCTGAAATTACTTTCGAAATTGAGAGCGGCAGAGGTTAATGAAGTAATTTTGGTGAACAAAGAGCGAGTTTCTGTTAATAGTTTAGGTGAAGTCAGCATAGTTTTAAATGTGAACAACCAAAAGGTCGAAACCAATATTCGAAATGTGGAACATGTTCCCAACCCTTGCGCTAATTTTTGTCGGTGCGTCGCATGCAGAAAATGATTTGAAGAAACTAGACTGTGCCAACTGGAAGAGTAATGACAACTATTGACAGTTTTGAGCTTTGGCATCGAAGGTTCAACGCTTGGAATTAATTTCAACAACGCAAGTAAGAATGGTTGCATTGTATACCGTAAGAGCATAAAATAAAAGTGCTGAGAACAGATAATGGCACTGAATATTGTAATTCACAATTTATAAAATGTATGCGTAAATGTGGTTCATCAAAAACCAGCTCCATATACGCCCGAGCAGAACGGGAATTGCAAATACGGCAGTAGAGGTAATAGTCGAAGTCCGGAAGAAATATGGAATTTGAAATACTTACGCATATTTGAGTGTGTTTTGGTTAGAAATTGCGTTTTATCAAATTTCAAATTCGAATCTGGCTGAAAGCAAAAGAGCAATTTATTCGAAGTGGGTTTTTAAAACTAAGCGAAATGCTGAATGTGCGCTTGTTCGTTATAAAGCATGTGAACATAAAAGCGAAATTTATACGAGAGAAGCTGCAATATAAGTCATTACAGCTGAAATATATTTCTACAAGCGAAATGTTAGCAGATGGCTTAACAAAGGCGATACCTGTTGTTAAGAATGAATTTATTAAAGTTAAATTAGGCTTAAAGTAAAGTTATGTTACATTTTTGAATTTTAACTAACATCCTTTTAGTGTTGTCAGATGTTCTGTTAATATATAATGAATGTTAATGAAATAATATAAATCTGGCATCACCAAATTTAATTTTCTTGTTACACTGTTCTTATGTACATACATTATATTTCAATAAAATCAGTCGCCATCTTACATTGAAACTGCGTGTACATACCTCTGCTCAACAGCTAAGGCACAGCAGTTTTACTTAAACAATAAATAGATAAATATTCCTTTTCGAAACTCATTTTACAACGTGAAAATTAGAAGCGAGGGTGCATTAGCTGATGCAGAAGCAGCAAACCAATTTCCACAAATTCTTTTGGAAGCTATATCGTCGGGCGGATACGTGGCTGACCAAGTTTTTCTGTTAAAGGACTTAAAGCAGCAAAAGAGCGAGTTACATTGCTACTATGCAGCAAACAAGAATCTAAAGCCTCGAGCTTTGATACCTTCATTTTGTATTGATAAAAACTTAAACTGATTTCGACGGTTCTTAATGAATAAAAAGTCCTCGTAATAGTAATAGCATCTATTTTGAGAGACTGGTTCGATAAATATTTTGACACCAAAATCCACGAGGCCATCCTGGCCATCCCTTCATCGAATTCGAAAATGTTAAGGTTATGTTCCTGCGACCAAATACGACGTATTTAATTCAACCGCTAGACCAGAGAACCGTTGCTACTTTCAAGTAATATTATGCAAACAATCCTTTATGTACATTTTGAAACAGATTGAGAAGGACACCCAATAAAGTGTAATTTCAGATTGCTAAAGGAAAATAAAAACCAAACAATAACTGTTTTATGCTGATATTTTTCAACTTGCTACCAATATTGGTAGACGGTTTTGCAGATATGACGATGGAAGATGTTAATGAATTTCTTGAGTAATAACGAAAGTTTGCAAGGCTTGGACAAAACCAGTAATGAAGCTACAATTGCAGCGAAGGTACGTTCAGAGTTTAAACGCCTTACTGCGAACTTAATTCTGCAAGAGTTGCTAAAGGCAATGGAGTTGGGCAAACATTTTTTGAAGCATCACCAAATAAAGATCGTTCAGAAAAAATTGGAGTAGATATAAAAGATGCAATCGAAAGCTGCCGCAATCTCTATAACGAGTTTAAAGAAAAAACCTCACAGAGCTCTATGACTGATGTTTTTTTTTTCAATATTAAAAATTATCAACAATTATTTGATATGATCTCAAGTGTATCAAAATTCTTTGTTTCAAAGCTGACTACTCAAATACTCAAAACACTCTTTATGTTATATAACTAATATTTGTTTTTTATTACAAGGAAAACCCAAATTTTTGAAACGAGTTAGGACCTGCGTATTTAAAAAAGTGTTTCTAGTGTACAATAGTTTTATTTTACACAGTTTTCTTTCAAATTTGAAGCGACTTAGCACCTTTACATAAAAATCGTATGTTTAACCGTTATATAACCGTTGTTTATCTACTATTATTGCCTATATTTTATAAAAGGATAAATATTTACGAATATAATTGCAGACTTCGACAAAAGTACATACATATGTTTGTATGTATATCTGCAGAGAGTTTAAGTAATATTTTAATATTAACCATCTAGCTGAAACCATGTACTAAATAAAATGACTATGAGAGTACCAAGAACAAAATGAGTTCTTGCTTAGCATTACATGTTGCAAGGGCACAGAAAGTTGACAGGACTACTCTCAATTTATCACTACTATTCTCCTAATATCTTTACTTGATGGGTGTCAAAGTTGCTTTGCAATTGAAGCTGCCTTTTATACATAAGCGGATGTCTGATCTGACTTTGAGTTATACCCTCAAAATTATTAGCTGATTAGCAAATATGGCAAAGCTTATGCCGACCGCTGTAGCCAGATTCAATGAGTGCCTACAAATGCCGCCTGATATTTCGGTTTTAACCGCGAAAAAAGTATCCAACGTAAACCAGCTCTTTATTTTCAATTTAATCCGTGCCGAAATCATTTTACTTCTCCCATACATTTTACATGTAATTTTGCATTTCGCAAGTAAATCTATACCTTTAAAAAAGTGATATTATAATACAAAATTTTCCGCTCTATGTCCCGACGATTTTTTCAATAAAAACATTCCTTTAAAAGTTATGCGCAGTCAAATTTATACATCATATGGACCGAGCATTCATACAAGTTATTTATGCATTCTGTGTTGCTCATACGACATGGTGTACCTATATGAATACAGTACATTTGATGCATTAATTTAACTGTGTACGACTTTTAAAGGCATTTATTTATGAAAAATATTAATTCAACCTGTGTGCAAAAATTAAAATGATTTAGGCACGGCATAAATTTAAAATAAAGAGCTTGTTTACGTCGGAACCTATTTTAAGGTCAAATACTGAAACTTCAGGGGGCCTTTACAAAAAAAAAATAGTCATGGGAAATAAGGGACACTCCAATATACATACATACTCGTGCATAAGAAGTAGTCAGTGCAGCTCATAATAGCACGCTGCAATAAGTGTTAGAAGTTGTCATATTTTGGCCTTGATCGAACGCGTGACACTTCACTCTTTATTACGTAAATGATAGCTGAATACATCGAAGTTGTATTTAATATTCCAGGCAATTCATAATATACACTATAAATCACAGTTTTTCATTTTTTATTCAGCTGTCAAACGACAAATTTTCACAATTAATGTTTTATGCAAAAACTTCCTATAGCGTTTTGTTCAGAAATTAATTGCTATTTTCATGTCTATTACCAAAAATGTTTGACTTACTTTTGTTTGCTGAGTGTAAGGAACTCAAAATATTTGGCCAATTCAATTCAGTTCAGTGCTGTTACTTCCAATAGCTGGAGTGTACTTTAGTTGATTTTTCTGTTCATAAACTACGATTTACTTTAACAGGAATTGTTATCTTTACGCCTTAAAATTTTCTTATTGCCTCGAATCACTAGTTTGATACTTGAAACTTTTTATATGTGGTTTTTAAGATCTTGATTACGTACATTTTGCCACTTTTGCGTTTGGAAAGAATTAACATAGTACTGTAATTATTATGAAATGATCACATATATTGCATTTCAGACTTAGTTTGCACTTTTTCGTTTAACGCACAACAATTTTTTTTTGTTTTCCACTTAATTGACGTTGTTTAATGTTTTATGAATAATTTGTCTTGAAAGCGCTATGAGCCAATTGTTTAAAGTCTCAGCCTGTATAGAGTTGGCTGCTGCGTTTGTTGTGCATGTGATGTTGTACTAATGCGCTATATGCGTGCAGACGTGCGCGCCTATTAGTGTGCTAGCGTTTTCTGCCTTAATATCCGCCGTAGCTACGACGTCAAAGTTATTGGCGCATTCGGTTCGGGCCGCCCGAATAGGTCGGTCGCCTTCATCATCACCGTAAGGGTCATAGTGGTTGCGTTTTGTCTCAAATACGAAAAAGTGGTACACTGAAGTGTTTCACTTAAGTATTACTCGTATATAAGAATGGCTTTTTGTTTATATGCGTGTATATGCGAAGCAACAGTGAGTGGTAGTAGTGTAGTAAGAATCCAACCGAAACTAACGTTTTAGCTGGGGTAGGAATACACGGGTGAGCGGAAAAATTGCGTGAATTAAGTTTTAAGAAATGGAAAAAGTATACAGTGGGTACAGATGAGAGCACAACTTTATATACTAAAATAGACTATAGTATTAAAGTGTTGCGAATTATCAATACCCACGACAATCAAGTTAAGAAAAATTCGTATTGGTGCATTGGTAATGAATCAGATGAAATAGGGATATAAAAACAACAAACCTAAGATTTCTGATAGATTCAGAACGTTTTTTATCGAAAGCAGATATCCAATTACTTATAGGAGTTTTTCGTCTGGCTTCACCAAGGACTCTACGTAACAGTCTAAATGTGATCGCCCGCCACTTTGAGAGATCAACCATCTAACTTTACCTAACCTATTGGTAATAAATTGGTTACCTAATACTTTGAGTAAAAAGCATGCCTGCACTCAATAAACAGTGTTATTGTATGGTTCCAATAGAGAATAAACAGTTCTAAATACGACGTGGGAAGGAGATAACGCTGAACGATTAAGCAGATTTGTCAATAAATTCTGCCACAACTACGAAGTTTGCCTTTTTTTAATTGATATTACTAATTTATGAAACGCAATTTTGTAACCTTTTTTAAAACTGATTTAGTGTCTTACTATATTTTAAATAGAGCCGACCAACACACCAACCGAAGGCAGAATAAGAGAAAGGTCAGGTATTTACATAAATTTCCTGGCAATAAAGATCCAAGTTATTAGATGAATTATTTGTGCTGTAAGCTGGAAAAATTACACTAAACAGCTGCTACTACGAAATAATAAGTCGATGTCCCCTCAAAGCAAATTTTGATTCGTTAAGTGGGATATTTTTTGCACTTGTTGAGAATTTTTACCATACTAATGTACTTATTTTTAATGCCATCAGAAAGTAAAGATTTCAACAAACATAAAACTTATTGACTTAAAAAAAAATCTGATATTTTGACGTTAGAACTTTTGACTGAAAATTAGGGTTTTTCTCCGACTTTAAGTCGAAATATGGGTTCCTCCTTAATATTTTAAATAAAAACAAGAAAAAACTCTAACTTCGCCCCTCCCCTTCCTTCTCTCTTCTTTTATTATCTCTTTTTTCCAGTGGGTTTCATCCTACTATGTTATGCTTTTCTTGCTTTCAAAAATTATCTAACTGGTCTGGATGTTATACAATTTTGTACGTTTCTCTAATAAATTCTTAAAACTCGAAGGAGTGCGCTGTTGCTATAAAACTCTCTGCTGGGTTTTCTTGCACTTCGTGGACGAATGAACGCATGAATGAATTGAAATTCTATGTACTCAAATACATTTAATATAGAGTGCAGCGTGTACATATGTACATACAATAATTGTGTGGGAGCTGCTGATGCGCCGTCCAAAGCGTTGGAGCGAAGCTGTGGGAGTGTCCGATCAATTAGAGTGGGAGCAACAGCTACGGCTATACGTCATAGTGAATACTTAAACATGTATTCTTTAGAATTCAGCTGATAAGTGCAGTTCAAGAACAATGTCAGTCCCACTGTCAGCACCACTGGCCAGGGTCTGGCTGTGACAATGAACATAGCTGCTACTTATATTTTAATGCACACGACTTATTGAGAAGTAAGGCATAATGATTTCAAGGACTTTTGCATATTTTGACAAACGGAAGAGAGTTAATTGTATTTAATAACTCTTATTGTGTTATGTATACTATTTTTAATGTCATTTGCTGCTTCATTTGCAACTTTATTATGTACATATATCGCCTATCGGTATGTGTACATACATATTTCTTATATACATTTATGTACATATATACATGAATATAAAGCGGCATATGTTGATTCAAATATAATTAGGAAGTTGTAGCATATCCGCTCGTTTGAGTTCCCAACAACACTTAGCCTACTTAAAATATTCTTATATAATATATATACATATGTATATGTTGCCACCTACAATTCTGCAAGGCTAACAATAGGATATTTAAACCTTCTTCATATTGCAGTGCTCTTGGCACGTCCCATTTATATGCTGATTATTTGGTTCTTATATATTCTTATACAAGTTATGTCCCTCTGCGAAACGAGTGAACACAGCACAAAAATCCACCTACATGCTTACATATGCCTGTGGGTATGTACATACGTGACACTTCGGCTCAACGTACGAAATGTGTCCTTATTCGTTTCCATCGTTGTGTCATTCACTCTTTTCAAAATATCACAGCAGCTTTAGGGGTGACTATTATATTTATTCACTAAATCTGTCGGAATTTATGTTTTTTTTAAGCTTTCCCTTCGGTTTTTATCGGTTAACGCTGAAATTCATTCATTCATTCGTTCGTGCGTTTAGCAAGCCGAACAAGAGCGGTAGTGTAGTTTCGATTCATAAATCCGATACGTTGCCTTTTTGATTTTGATGTTAAGGGGAAAAGCACTGTCTGCAAGGGGAATGCATTTAAAAATTTTCGGAATTGGGATTTATATAACACCGAGCGTTTAAATATAGTTTCCTCTCATTTATGTACAAGTATATCTATATACGAATGATGTACGTAACGCGCACAGCTAAACTGCGTTCGGCAAATGTGGTACAAATGCATAGGTAAGTATAGTAAATGTGTATAGTATAGCATAACATACCTAAGTAGTCAGCCGCCATTTATTTTCGTCACTTTTTCATATTTGTTATAACTACATTATATTATACGTACTCGTATTATGTCGAATAGTAAAATATGATGTTTAAAATAAAAAAAAATATATATAAAGTGCAGTATATTAGTGGTGCCTGGCTTTGGTGGTAAGCAATATGGACAATTGCAACAAGACTGTTGTGTTGGAAGCTCCACCAGTACTCTACCCATGTAGCCAGGAAAAAGCCGCTGCTATCTGCCATTAACACCGAAAAATGCAACAACTATGGCGTTATTTGTTGTGTCGAGACGAAGATATTGATGTATAGACCCGACAAAATTTGACGGAAATCAAAAACGGCTGCGCTACAAAAAAATATAGTGCCGACAGTTGAATTTGGCAAGCTTTCTGTAATGGGGCTGTATTTCATACAAAGGCGTCGCGTAATTGTGTAAATTCACACACCGAATCACCAAAAAGATTGATTTTATTGAACGTGAAAACAGCAATGAATTAATATACAAGCTGTATCAGGATAACGTACAAAAGCACAAACCGCTGCTCTGTCGGACTTGGTTGCAAGGTAATAGACACACCTGCCCATCAGCACTGTCATATCGGCGGATTTTTCCTACAATTGTTTGAGCGGATTTATTGATCATATCTATTATAAGATCTATTTCGGAAAAACAGCATATCGCTTTATCTTTTCAACAAGCGAAGATAGAAAAACCCACATTTAAAACTCGGTCGATGAAGAGAATTAAACGCAATCGGGATCTGACCTTTCTTCCTTTCGCTTGCTCCCTTGTCTCCCTTCTTGCTCGCACTCTCTTGCACACTCTCAATGCTTCTGATTTGCCAGTTTACATATGCGTTTGATCTACCATTTCGGCAATGAGAACGTTTGGTCCTATATGGAACATACAGAGCGATTATCAAAAAAAAATCACACACAAATTTTTTTTATTTAATGTAAAGTACAATCGATACAATTAAGTTCTGAATATAGCATCATTCAAATGGACTCCACGACTTTATTTGCAGGAACGAATTCGATGAACCTAATTTTCGAGTACTTTTTTCACTAAATCAAGTCGTATGTCACAAATAGCACGTTCCATATCGACTTATAAAGCTTGAAGAGATTCTGGTTTATTGCTGAAGACCAATGACTTCAAATAACCCCACAAGAAATAGTCTAATGGTGTTAAATCAATGTTGTTGGAACCAGTTGTTCTCAAGATAAATTTCTTCCAATTGTGGAGATAAAAGAATGGTTATCATCGGTCTATGCCGCTCTCCATTGACAGTAACGGTGTCACCAGCTTAATTTCGAAAGAAATACGGAGGGTGATTCCACCAGACCAAAAACCACCAAAACTGTCAATTTATGTGAATGTAATGGTTTTTGATGAATAATTAGTTGATTTTCTTCACACCAGACTCAACAGTTTTGTTTATTTACCGCACCACTCACCATTACCATATTGCCCATTAAATGGCAAAAGCGCATGAAGAATTGCAATTGAAGAACGATTATTTTGATAATAAAATTTAAAAATTTGTAAACGTTGTTTTGCGTTCACTGATGTGATCTGATATGATGAAATTGTAAACATTGTTGAATACAATGGAAAAAAATACAAATCCTGATGTATTAAAATGGCCGAAATGACACTTAGAAATCGTATAATCCCTATTGAAAACCCCTATAGTTTAGATATTGGTCTAGGATCGATACTTCCTTTTCATCATTTTCTTCCGACTTATAGATTTTATTTTGATCTAAAGGTACTACATTTTGCATCATTCTAGTAAAGCGAGTGATTTGCCAGCTGCAGTATTTGCTGAACTCGATGTTTGATTCACGAAAATTTACAACTTTTAAAAGTAAAATAAGTCAAATCGAACAGGAATTTTCCTCAGATGACGAAAATCAATCAACACCTAAGATGCAGTGAGTAGCCTTATGTTTTATGCTTAGTGCTGTCACGATTTTCGTCGACGACAAACGTGTTGACCAAATTTTCATGCTTCTGTTTATTATTTTAATTTTTTTCGGAAGAAAAATCAAAAATAAAATAACAGCGGCTCAACACAAACTCGAAAGTTTTTGTTCGTGGCCTATCTTTTGTCTTGACTTTATTTTTGTTATATTTTTAACTTTTTCTAATATTAAACATATGCTCTAATAATGCTGTAAAAGAATTATCATAAATACAATGAAATTGCTAATAAAATTTCATGTCGACGTTGATTATGTGTGCCTGTTTTCATTTGCCAAAAAATTACTTGACAAACCGTATATGTTAAGTCGAATAATAAAACATGATGTGTAAAATTAGAGTAAACAAAAAAAAACGCTAACTTCGGTTGCACCTAACCTATAATACCCTTCACAAATAAAAAAGTTTCCATACAAGAAATTGATTTTGATCGCTCAGTTTGTATGGTAGCGATATACTACAGTGGTCCGAGCTGAAAATTTTTTTCTTAGATTGTTGATTAATTTTTTTTTGCGTTTGCGTTTTTGTGGTATATGCGTATGCGTATGCGTTTTTATGTTTGCTTATTCAAAGTAAACATACTTACCTATAATACCCTTCACAAATAAAAAAGTTTCCATACAAGAAATTGATTTTGATCGCTAAGTTTGTATGGTAGCGATGTACTACAGTGGTTCGAGCTGAACATTTTTTTCTTAGATTGTACCGTTGCTTTAGACTAAAGTCCATGTCGAATTTCGTGAAGATATCTTATTAAAAAAAAAGGTTTTCATACAAGTCCTAGGTTTTAATTCTTCAGTTTGTATAGCAACTATATGATATAGTGGTTTTTTTCGGGAGATTGTACGTCTTACTAACTAAAAAAGTTGTCCATACAAGCTATTGATTTTGACCGCTCAGTTTGAATGGAAGATAAATGCTATAGTGGCCCGATATCGGCGGTTCCGACGAAAGAACAGCTTCTTGGGGAGAAAAGAACGTGTGCCAAATTTCAGATCAATATCTTCAAACTTAGTTCATATTTATACAGACGGGCATGGCTAAATCGACTTTTTTATGTTGGGAGGAGGTACTTTTAAGATACAAGATCCAGGGCAGGCAAAATAAGCAGAGAAGCGACGCGCTGCATACCTGCTGAGGAGGTGGAACTGCAACCGACAACCAATGAGGAGGAATCCATTAATTGAGCAACAGCTGTCTTGCCTAACTTTAAACTGGAAGCGCCGGTAGCGGCAGCCAAGAGACTGAAGACTAAGGGCATGACGGCCGCAAAATCTTTTGCTGATGTAGCCAGAATTATTATTGGGGTGCTGAATGAGGAAGATCCCGAAGGAAAAATCCCCGGAGCTCAATGGAAGTGGGTGCAAGCCACACTGACGAATGTGGCATTGGAAGTGCTATTAAGCAATCCAGATTCGCCCCCGTCATTTACGGATGTAGAATGGTACCAGGGCCAAATTAAGATGATAGCTTGTGACGACGAGAGATCGGTCCAGCTCTATAAGGACGCAATAGCTAAGGTAGGGGATAAAAAGGTTATCCCATCCCAACCGAGGGCAAGGGTATGGATACCGGCTACACCATCGCAGACGGACCAAATAAAGCAGCTCATCAGAACCTGTAACCCGAATCTGCCAAATGGGGGATGGAGATTTGTCAAGGCCTTCGACGACGCGGCAGCGGAATCTTCCGTGGAGACGAAACGAGCCACAATGCAGATTCTGCTGTTGTTAATAAAGGAATCCATAGAACCGCTGGCGAAAAGTGGCGGGGAAATCAACTACGGATTCACAAAGATGAAGGTCATGGCCAACAAGTCAGGCGCCGATGCAGGAGAACACTTGGCGTCGGAATCGGAATGAAGTCTAGAAAGATTCGATACTGCGGGGTCAGAGCTTGCAGACAGACTCTCTAAACTCTACACTGAGAGCGAGCTTTTGAGCGACTCTCAAGAAGATGCAGAGAAGACACTAATTAATGCGTCTTCTCCAAATTAATCTCCACCACAGCGAACTAACTTCTCTACCCCTAGTTAAATGCATGGCAGAAGAAGGGCCTGACTTCGTCCTCATTCTCGAGCCATGGGTTAATGGAGGTCGTATTTGCGGTCTGAGGACACCAGGGTATAATTGATACATGGCAGGCTGCACAACAGCACTAAGCTGGGAGACGGGCGGAAATCAATACTGGCTGGCGTCATGCTACATGCCGCATGGCGAGGTAGCAGTACCATCGCAGCTGATTAAAGGGCTGGTACGAGATAGCGAAGCATCTAAGTGCTCGATTATACTTGGGTGCGACAACACACAGTGGGGCAGCACGGATGCCAACGAAAGGATAAAAGAACTGGTAGATAAAATGACACATTGGAGAATACTGGAGGAACACTCCTTCTCAGATCCCCCATACATTGAGTGAATAAATGAAGAGAATGTAGATAGGGTAGAGATATTATATATATAAGGAGGTAAGGAAGGCCAAATTAAATTCGTGGAAAACTTTTTTTAATGAAATCCAGAATACGTCAGAAGCATCACGACTTAGAATACTAATGACACAGTCGAAATATAACATCGGATACCTTCAGAAGCAGACCACAGCTGTACGGTATCCATTGAAGAGACTTTAGGCCTGCTAATGGATACTCACTTCCCAGACAGTCCCGAGGGCACAAGGGAGCATACACTGGAGAGGGAAGTGGTAGCAGAGTCCCCTCCTGTAGACATAGTGTCATATAGTAATGTTAATTGGGCAATAGGCAGCTTCAAGCCATATAAATCGTTGGGACTAGACGGGATATTCCCGGCTCAGTTACAGCAGTCCCAGAGCTCCATAATAAACTGGTTAACAACCATGCTTAAAGGGGCACTGTTTTTCAACTATATTCCCTCGGTATAGAGGAAAATCAACGTGATATATAATATATACCAAAGGCCAGCAAAATCTCATACACTAATCCAAAGGATTTCCTCATTTCTCTTAAAAACTTTGGAGAGACTGATAGAAATACACATAAGGGGCAAACTAAGCCCAGGAAAAATTGCAGTTTCGCAGCATGCGTATTCTAAGGGTAAATCCACAGAAACGGTGTCAAGCTCAGTGGTAGCAGAATTGAAAAGTCTTTAGATATAAAAGAATACACCTTCGTAGTTTTCTTAGACATAGAAGGTGCTTTGAAAAACATCCAGCCGAAGGCCATACTGAGCGAGCTTAAAGATTTGGGCATACCTGAGCCTCTTCGGAAATTAATTGAACAGATGCTCTTGGGCAGGTCACATGCGGACTGAATTTAAATGCTAGCAAGACAGAACTAGTATTGTTCACTAAGAAATACAGTCCTCCAGAAATCACGACGCCATTATTAAGTGGTACCAGGCTAACGGTAGGAAATAAAGCTCCTGGGTCTAATTTCGGACAGGAAGCTTTCTTGGAAACCAAACTTGGAAGATAAGGTTAAGAAAGCAGCTACAGCACTTTACACGTGTAAAAGAATGGTGGCCCTACACAGCAATTTTATGGCCGATTATGACTTACGGTATATTGGTATGGTGGCCAATAACAGAAATAAAATACGTAGTTAAAAATATGGAAAACATACAAAGAGCATCCAGTATTTTCATCAGTGGAGCTCTCAGAACAACGCCAAGCCTGGCGCTAAACGTAATTTTAAACTTATTTCCAACAGATCTGTTTTTCAAGTAAATGGATATATGAATATATAGAGCTGAATCTAAATCCGGTCTCCAATATTGCCTTCCCCTCCAGAGAGGAGTAAGAAAGGGGTGTGGTGAACAAGAAAGCAGGGATAAGCTTCTATACGGATGGTATAGCAGATGAACCAGCCAGAACAGGCACCACCCTAGAACTGGCTTCTGGTAAGGAGGACATATTTATGCCTCTGGTTACTTGTTCTTAATCGACAACCATGTGATAAATATAGCTGAGTCTCTGTGGAATCAGTCCCTGCCTTGCTCAACAAACAGTCAAATGTGGCATAAATGGAATATGAGCCGCACGTACCGACTGTTATAATTCAAACGGAATGATATAAAAACTCTAGTAGGAGTACTAACAGGCCTAGGTGTGTCGAAAGACAGCCATTCTACCTACCTCCATTTTTCCTTCCACATCATATGTTGCCAACCGAAACAAACTCACAAAATATTATTGATAATATATTATTGACAAATAAAAAACGTTAAATTAGGCTGCACCGAATATATACCTATATAATACTTTTCTCAGATACAAAATATTCCTTACAAGAACTTTGATTGGTCAGTTTGTATGGCAGCTATATGCTATAGTGACTCGATCTGAACAATTTCTTCCATCTTTGTCGTGGACAATAACCCATGCCAAATTTGCTGAAAATATTAGTCAAGTAAAAAGTGGAAATAGTGGAAACAGACCGCCACGTGAGCACTTAGTTAATTGCTGAGAAACTAAAGATAAGCCAGAACACCGTTTGGAACCATTTGCATAACCTTGGATTCAAAAAGAAGCTGGATGTTTGGGTGCCATATGAATTTTTATCTCTGAATCGCTGCTGAATGGCACAAAATCGACCCGTTTCTGAAGCGGATTGTGACTGGCGATGAAAAATGGGTCACTTACGACAACATCGAGCGCAAACGGTCGTGGTCAAAGCTCGGGGAAGCGGCCCAGACGGTGGCCAAGACCGGATTGACGGCTAGGAAGGTTTTGCTGTGTGTTTGGTGGGATTGGCAAGGAATCATCTACTACGAGCTGCTCCCCTATGAACAAACGCTCAATTCGGCCCTCTACTGCCAACAACTGGACCGCTTGAAGGCAGCACTCATCCAGAAGAGGCCATCTTTTATCAACAGAGCCGAATTGTGTACCATCAAGACAACGCCAGGCCACACACGTCTTTGGTGACGCACCAGAAGCTCCGGGAGCTCAGATGGGAGGTCCTTATGCACCCACCTTATAGTCCGGACCTGGCCTCAAGTGATTACCATCTTTTCCTGTCCATGGCGAACGCGCTTAATGGTGAGAAGTTGGCTTCAAGAGAGGCCTGTAAAAATTGGCTCTCCGAGTTTTTTGCCAATAGGGACGCAGTCTTCAACGAGAGGGGCGTAATGAAATTGGCAACAGAACGAACTTTTTACTTGACCAAAATCTCCTCAAATTAAAAAGTTTTCCATATAAGCACTTGATTCTGATAATTCGGTTTGTTCGGCAGCTATATGCTAAAGTGATCCGATCTGAACAATTTCTTCGAGAATTG